ATTCGCCGTGAGTACCGAGTTCCGAGAATTCGCTAATGTGACGTCATCACCAACATGATCTGGCGTGTTCGGTGTGTTCTGACTTACAGCAAGCCGCTCAAATAGTTGTTGGTTTTGTTGTAGCAAGTTCAAGATTGCATCGTTGTGTGAGTGTAGCCCGTTGCTGCCACTCGCACCGCTTGTAGATGTCCCCGGTTGTAGGTCATTACTCCTTTCCTTGAGAATAGCGCTTGCCCTTAGGTATTTTGCTTCGTAGACCGCATTGTCAATCTCCGGATCGACATAGCCTTCCACTTCCTCGTGAAGCGCAATGCAATCGCTAAACTGGTTGAACTCCTTCCACACTTCATTGAGAAGATCTATCCGTGTGGTGATTTCTGTGTGTGTAGCAATCTCCGTGTGTTCAGCCCATGCCAAGACACGTGTGATGTTAGCCTTAAGTCTGGCACGGCTTTTCACTAATGATTTTAATTGTTCCATAGCAAACAATTACCAATTGAGAATCAAAGCACTTCAAAACTGTCCAAGAATCCGGAACGATGGACCAGCAATATGGTTAGAAATATAAACGATTTGTGTGGACTGTATGTAGTTTTATTCTTGACGGTTTCGAAGCCTATTTGATACTGGTATGAATTTCACAAAAAGACGCTGTCGTAGCAGCGTTGCCAGAATCGAAAAATGGTATATATATATATGTATATCGATATTATATTACATAGGATAGAGATGGCATTATGCGCCTAATAATGAGAGATTAGTAAAGACTGCAACCGTTCAGGAACAAATATCTTTCGCCAATAGTTGAATAAATCGGAGCATATGTTAACAAGTTAAATTGATACAGAAAAACCAGAAGAGCAATTTGAAAGATAAGCAAGGAGTGTTCGTCGTATCTAGAATAACACGAACGAAAGGAAACGAGTTTAAAAATCGAACGAGAGCCAGTCGGTGTCAAGATATCGTTCGCTACAGACGCAAGTTAACACAATTTTGTGAAATTATACTTTAAACCACAACCGATAGTTTGTCAATAAGTGACCCAAATATTTATAATATAATAAACATTCCAATAATATCAAGTCTACGGAGTTTTGTCATCAAACGGAACCCTGGGGCCTCATTGATTAGCCGAGTAACGGCTTGCATTTAACTCAATAGACATATTATTTTAGACGTAACCATTTTCCGCTCGGACTCTTCACAAAATTGGATGTAGCGACATTCTTCCTAACTGCTCGGTCAGTTCTCCTCAGCTTACCTCGCATTTCTTTAACTTTGTCTGCATAACACCCTATGCATAACACCCTCTGTGCTTTTCTTTCTGACCAGTAGAATTTTCTCAACATTTTTCATTTCATAAGCTTTATTTGTATACAATCCGGTACTATAACCATTGAGAGCTCCATGTAGAGTTTCTCCGAATTCAGGACATTCCGTGTTGAATGGAAGTTCCACGATATACTTCCCGTTTTCATCGCGGCTGTGGGTGGCGAGAAAGTGCTTCTCGACCTGATCGTCTTCCGGTTCCAATTTTGTGTTGCTTTGAACGTTCTCCAGTTCCCAAAACTTCTGAAGCGTGTTGTCGATATCCATTGTTGTGGTTAGAGCAATAGCGTTGCTTGCGTTCGATGTGATGAGTGAAGTGATTACCCATCCGAATACCGACGAAATAGCGATAAGATTACCCTTGTTGTCGTACATCTTTCGTCCTGTGAACACTGACCATACGTGTTCGCTTCCCAATAGTATATCTACTGGTGTGTTTGCGTTGAAATGTGTATCCGCCAGCTGCAGATCCTTAAATACCTCGAGTGTCGATGCGTCGATATTTTGGCGTTCCAAAGATGAGGTGATTCTGCCTAGCACGTGGGCATAGACAACCAAACGATCATCGGATATGCGAGACTTGATTTGCAGAGTGCTGCATCCCCTTGTCGTGTCTGCTTTTACGGAAGAGATTCCCGTAACCAAAATGCGTGATGCCGACCGTGTCAATCCGAGAGCTTGAATGCAACGCTCAGATACATAAGATAGCTCTGATCCTGTGTCCAATAGAAGACGGCATGTTACGTGGTCACCTTTTGCGTTTTTAACATACACCATAGCCGTTGGTAATATGCTTCGTTTGAATTCCGTTTGATGTGTAGATTTTGCAGTGCCTTGTGCACATACAACCTTTTGGGTGCCCGCTCCTTGGGCCAAATGACTGAGTGTCACTGAGTTTGTGTTAGAAGCGCTTAAGTTTTGCTCGTCCCCCTCCGCTATCTGGGCAAGATTCCCACTAGCCTGTGTTTTCGATTGGACGTGAAGAAGGGAGTGATGATTGCCTTTGCATTGCCTGCACTTGTATGTTGACTTGCACCTGTTGACCCCATGACCAGGTCGCAAGCAGTTGTAGCATAGTGATTTCTCCTTCACAAATGATCGCCTCTGCAGTCCAGACATATCCAGAAACTGCTGACAGCCATATAGAGTGTGTTCCGTAGAACTGCATTTGGTGCAGCCACTACTTTCAACCGCAACCATCGATTGTGTGATCCTTTTTGGTTTTTCAGGATGTGTTGTTGTCTTGCTTCCAGTCGCAAGCTCCCTTTTGCTCAGCTCCAGTTCCTCGCAGCGAGAATCGAGAAACTTGAAGAATTCCTCTAGAGTGGGCGAATCGGTCTCCATGCTGCGCTCAATCCACCTGCGCCGTGTGTCAGCGTCAAGTTTCTCTAGGGCTAGATAGATGATCCAGCAATCGCGTCCCGTCTGATTCACCGCATCCAATCCACGAACAATTTCGTTTGCTCCGTCCGAAACCTTCCGTAGAACTGTTGCATCGATCTTTGTAGTTGTTGGCAGGCTCATAAACTGTTCCAAAAACGAGTTTACAATGTGCCGTGGACGATTGTATCTTTCCTTAAGACGTTCCCATGCAGTGTTGTAAGCCGTGTCCGTAATTGCCAAGTGTCGAACCAAGTTGGCAGCCTCATCAACGAGTAGTGTTTTTAAGTGATGGAACTTCTGGGTGTTGGACAAATGCTGTTTGTTATGAATCGAGCTTTCATATATGTCTTGAAAGGATGGCCACTCTGTGTAGTTGCCCGAGAACCGTTTGATTTGAATTTTAGGCAATTCGCTCAGATTTGAATTCGCCGTGAGTACCGAGTTCCGAGAATTCGCTAATGTGACGTCATCACCAACATGATCTGGCGTGTTCGGTGTGTTCTGACTTACAGCAAGCCGCTCAAATAGTTGTTGGTTTTGTTGTAGCAAGTTCAAGATTGCATCGTTGTGTGAGTGTAGCCCGTTGCTGCCACTCGCACCGCTTGTAGATGTCCCCGGTTGTAGGTCATTACTCCTTTCCTTGAGAATAGCGCTTGCCCTTAGGTATTTTGCTTCGTAGACCGCATTGTCAATCTCCGGATCGACATAGCCTTCCACTTCCTCGTGAAGCGCAATGCAATCGCTAAACTGGTTGAACTCCTTCCACACTTCATTGAGAAGATCTATCCGTGTGGTGATCTCTGTGTGTGTAGCAATCTCCGTGTGTTCAGCCCATGCCAAGACACGTGTGATGTTAGCCTTAAGTCTGGCACGGCTTTTCACTAATGATTTTAATTGTTCCATAGCAAACAATTACCAATTGAGAATCAAAGCACTTCAAAACTGTCCAAGAATCCGGAACGATGGACCAGCAATATGGTTAGAAATATAAACGATTTGTGTGGACTGTATGTAGTTTTATTCTTGACGGTTTCGAAGCCTATTTGATACTGGTATGAATTTCACAAAAAGACGCTGTCGTAGCAGCGTTGCCAGAATCGAAAAATGGTATATATATATATGTATATCGATATTATATTACATAGGATAGAGATGGCATTATGCGCCTAATAATGAGAGATTAGTAAAGACTGCAACCGTTCAGGAACAAATATCTTTCGCCAATAGTTGAATAAATCGGAGCATATGTTAACAAGTTAAATTGATACAGAAAAACCAGAAGAGCAATTTGAAAGATAAGCAAGGAGTGTTCGTCGTATCTAGAATAACACGAACGAAAGGAAACGAGTTTAAAAATCGAACGAGAGCCAGTCGGTGTCAAGATATCGTTCGCTACAGACGCAAGTTAACACAATTTTGTGAAATTATACTTTAAACCACAACCGATAGTTTGTCAATAAGTGACCCAAATATTTATAATATAATAAACATTCCAATAATATCAAGTCTACGGAGTTTTGTCATCAAACGGAACCCTGGGGCCTCATTGATTAGCCGAGTAACGGCTTGCATTTAACTCAATAGACATATTATTTTAGACGTAACCATTTTCCGCTCGGACTCTTCACAAAATTGGATGTAGCGACATTCTTCCTAACTGCTCGGTCAGTTCTCCTCAGCTTACCTCGCATTTCTTTAACTTTGTCTGCATAACACCCTATGCATAACACCCTCTGTGCTTTTCTTTCTGACCAGTAGAATTTTCTCAACATTTTTCATTTCATAAGCTTTATTTGTATACAATCCGGTACTATAACCATTTTCATAAATTTGTTGTTCGTCAATAAATGAGGAACGCGTCCAACCCTTGGCCAACTGTAAGGCGGTTGACCGCCAGTATCTTATATTTTGTATAAAAGACTATCTTTGTATTGTAATGCTTTAGTTTGTGTAATCTGCAAGGGTATAAAACTTTTGAATTGGCAAATTAGGTTATTACTATCTCTGTTATCTGCAGCCCTATTATCACTCTTTTATAAGAACAAGCAACAATGAAGATTGTAGATTTGGAATTCGACTCAATAAAGTGTTCGAGAACGGGAATGACTAGACAAGTGTCAAGCAGTACCTAGGGAGAGTGACTGGGCACTGTACAATTCGCAATCTCACAATGACCTTGTATAACTGAGAATTCACTCGAGACTAGAGATAGCACACAAATTGCCATTACAAAGCTTATCGCGGCTGCACTATAATAGTCCCCGATAAGATCCCCATTTCGTCATAATATAAACGTGAGCGCCGGAGCTAAGACGTCAGAAGCACGAGAAACGGCAACACGTAAACAATGCTACCCAACTGGCTAACCGAGGAGTATTTGCAGCCCAGGCTGAGGACTTACTGCAAGGACGATCAGCTGAAGGTCCTCAAAATCTGGGCCAAGCCGGCAACCGGAAAGGGTGAGAACTTCGTGGGCGTCATGACCCGAATCTACGTGGACTACCAGCTGGGCGATGGATCGGTTCAGAAGAAGACCTTCATCGTGAAGCAGGCCCTTCCCGAGGACGTTCCCCAGGCGGAGGTGTTCTTCGAGTACGAACTCTACACCCGGGAGATGGACATGTACGAGTTCGTCCTTCCGAAGTTGAAGGAACTGCTGCAGGAGGCTGGCCTGGACGGAAAGCTCACTGCAGACGCCATCGCCGTGGATCGGGAGTACAGCACCATGATTCTGGAGGATCTGGAGCCGTACAAGTTCGTTAACGCGGACCGAGTGAAGCAGTTGGATCTGGCTCACACCAAGCTGACTCTGGAAATGCTGGCCAAGTTCCATGCTGCATCCATAATCCTACAACAGCGCCATCCTGAGCTACTGACCAAGTGCTTCTTCACCCACTTCTTTTCGCGCGACAAAAAGGCCTATTCTGAGGTCTTTACGGGTTTGTTCCGGGCTTTTTTGCGGTTCATAAATGGCCAACCGAATCTGAAGCAAACTTATGGCGACAAGCTGGAGAAATTGCGTAGCCACATCATGGAGTACGGAGCTCGGGTCTACGATGTGGGTGAAGGAGATCTGAGGACGTTGAACCACGGCGATTGCTGGACCACCAACATTATGTTCCAGTACGATGACGCCGGAGATCCCCAGACTGTCGTGGCTATAGATTTCCAGTTCAGCAACTGCACCTCCCCCACCATCGACTTGCACTACTTCTTCACAACTTCCCTGAAGGAAGAAGTTAGGGACAAGGAACCGGAACTGGTTGAGCATCATTACAACGCCTTAAAAGCGAACCTGGAAAAGTTTTCCTACAAGGGATTATTTCCCACCCTTGAGGAGTACCAGCTTCAGTTCGAACGTCGCCGTTTCATGAGTAAGTTAAGCTGAAATAATCAACGAAACACGTAGCCTAAACCTAAATACTTTCGCAGGTCTTATGGCCCATATGTTCAAGCCTTGTATGATTTACAACGGCACTGAGGAGACCTCGGACTTCTCAAGTCTCTATAAGGACACTACAGAAGGTCTTCGTTACCAGAAATCTGTTTACGACAGCGAAGCTGTGATCAGAAGTGCAACCAAACTCTTAGCAATCCTGGATGGTAAGGGTCTCTTGGATCTGCAGTAGGCTAGTTCTTTATTTTAATTTAAAAAGTTAAAAAAATAAACATGAATGTACCAAAATTGAATTTTACTGAATTGAATTTAAAAACCTTTAGTAATATTGACATTTAATAACATTTTATACCATTCTTGGGTACAATTCTGTACAATTTATTGTGGTGTCTGAATGGGAGAGTGTTGTTATTCCAAGTTTGCGATTAAGATTGTTTGTACACCAAATTACTTTTTTGAGCACTTTAAAGATAAGCTATCAGTAGTGCTTTAAAGAATCACATTACGTCATTTTGGCGTCACTTTAGGCGGTGGGTGATTAAGTATGATAGCCATTAGCCTGGGCCGTTTGCGGACAGGCAAATGTCAAATGATTCAAGTTCCCTGGTAGACATTCAGAGAGCTTGATGCGAATTTCCGACAACCCTGAAGCCAGTGTGCAGAGCTTTTCCACCCCTCGGCTTCGGTGATAAGAAAGCTCCGCACAGCTGATGGCCCAAAACCCAAACAAAGCAGGAAGCGACGGCCCACGGCCTGTTGACCAAATGCGGCGCCCTCAGTTGCGACTTGTGTGCCACGCGGCGTATACGCAACGCGCTCCCGGGAACCACGAATCAGGCGGAAATACAGTGCGCGGCGAGGCTATATAAGCAGGCGATGCGCACCGAAAGCCAACAGATGGTCGCTGACTGTGCACGCGTGTGGTTATCGGAGATCAGTAAACAGCCCAACTAAACACCGAAACTTATTGTAATGAAAACGCGTGAAAGAGGCGAAATAATCAAAATGCGGCCGCATATTTATTAAGATTTTTGAGGTGGCCGAACACAGTGGACCAAAAACTCTTTGGATCTACGCGGAATTCCGATTTCTGAGAGGTATGCCCTCGACTCAGTGTTTTGTGTTTGTTTCTCCAACAATGTGCCGCCATTAAAAAGTTGAAGGCGAGAAGATTTCGCACGGAACCCGACATTTATGACCATTCGTAGCCTGCCCCGAAAGTGGGCCGCGGAAACTCGCTAATTGCCTGCCGGACGCTCCGCAGTTGTCGGCATTTATTATGATTATTTTCCCGAACGCGCTTCAATGAATCTGAACTGCAAGTTGCGAATTAATCGAAAGAAAATATTATTCCGCCGCGAGTCTCCGGGGAAAACAAATCTTTCCAGGCTGTAATGCCAAGTGACGTGTGCGGGCAGAAATAAGAAATCATAATTTAACGAAACTACGGGGCAGTTGATGAGCTCAGGAAACTGAGGGGCTTCTCCCATTCAGTCGAGTTCCAGTCGATGGAAAATTAATGAATGTGCATCGCGCGTAATGAGATGTAAACGAGTGGTGCAGCTCAACACAAAATACCGAAAACCGAAAAGCAATTTGCTTAATGGCATTATTAATGGACTCTGAATAATGAAGCAGATTTCCAGCCACATATTGAAGCCATATTTAGTGCATTAAAGAAAAAATACGGACAAGAATATTGCGGCAATTATAATTATAGTGACATGAAGAATTACCCATCAGAGTCCAAACAAATAGTGTGCGCAAATATATGTGAAATAATTAAGCCAGAGCTTTCGTTGAATCCGTTTATTGTTTTTTTATTGTGGACTTTAATTAAAGAATTACAACAGCTCCCATCCGAATATTTTCTCATTGAGTTGTAAAGTCTGGACATGAGCGATAATTTTTGTGATTAAAAAAATCCTTCAATTGTGTGTAATGAACTTATAACATATATTTAAATCGGTTTGGTAATTATTGATTTATTACTTACATATTAAAGTACTTTTAAAATTAAACCACGGCGGTGCAATAGCTTTAACTGTTTAAGGTAGTACTTTATTAAAGTTAAGTGAAGTTCACTTAAAATGAAGAGTTGCCTTTCAGGCTGCCGAGTCAATTTAAACTCAGCACAGCCAAAAGGGTAACGCTCAACTGAGCATGGCTTAACCGGGAAGAAACATCCTCAAAGTGCGCCAGAATCTGGAAAATGTTCCAAAAGTTATGCATACCAATGCATGCAAAACTGGAGCCCCGAAGGCACTTAAGACTGCAACTATCTTGTGCAAACTTTTTAGCTTGGGACCCGTGTGTTTGTTGCACGAGGGATTAAGTTGGGTGCCGTGTCCCAAACTTTGCTCTATTGCGGGAATTTTTGAAGCATTTTAATTAATTTGATTATGCTGACAAGCAGCTTGGCGGAGGAGATTAAGAGCTTGAAGTATCCATCCCACCAAAACTTCCATTAGCAGAAATGTTTCATTTCTTATAGTTTCAAGACGGCAAAGACAACAGGGAAGTCCCATGAGTGCATTTCAAATTGGAAACTAAATGAGCAACTGCTGCTGTAGCACCCACAAAAACAGAGAGTCACTCGTGTCACGCTCAGAAGGAAAAACAGCAACCGACGACCAGGAAGAACAATACGGTACTATATAGTATATAGTATATATCCCCAGGGCGGCGCAGATTGCCAGAGAGATACGATGGTGAGTGTAATTGCAATATAAGTACTTAAAGCCAGCTCAAGAAGCCATTTCGGAGTTCCTAAAATGAAAAAGTTTGTTCGAGTTGCTTCGGGGGAAATCAGTCTGGGTTTTGACTTGGCCATATGGCTGTGCAAACCCCCATTTCTTTGACATTTGCAGGATACACCGCCAGATTGGGGCCAATTCGCTGGCGAAGGAACCATACAAATTTCGAAGTAATGCTCCCTTCTCGATGGCAATTTAAAAACTCGGAGAAGGCTTAAAAGTCGAGAGGAGGCATATCAGTTTACGCATTAATTGCTGTCCTGGTTACACAGTCGCATAGACCGGATTTCGGGTACCATGAATTTGTATTTTTATCCCAGCACTCTGTGGCTTTTCTTTGACACCTAAGAAGTGTTAAACGGCACACAAAACATGATTAAATTGCAAGGGACTTGGGCAAATGGGCAAAAATTTGCGTTCAGCTCTTAAGCAGCTTAGATGATTTATTCCTAAGGAACCCAGTCTCGAACTCGGCCAGATGTCTCCGCTTAAGCACAGCCCATCACTTTCGTAGACTACAACTTGGACTTGACCATCTGAACAGATGAGGGCAATTCCGACAGGATCTTACCACTTCCATGTGGAAAATAAATCGGCTTCAATTAATAAGGAATATGTCCTGGGGGCAGGCAAAGAGGTATCTTGTTGGGCACAAACTGATAAATTCATTAGCCAGCAGGGGCCAGTAAGTAGGTAATCGGAGCAAACAAATCGCACAAGCGGCAATAAAATTCATCTTGTAGTGGGCGAAACAAGAGGCACACCACAAATAAATCACAAAAATAGCTGAGTCCAAATGCCAGCAGGCTGGAATCGAACTTGAATTCCCCGAAAACTGAATGGCATTTAAAACCTTTGTCACGCTCCACTTATCCAGTGGAGCGAAAGGCTGTAGGCACTCGTACTCCGAAAATTATACCAAATTTGTGACAACTGCCGATGACTTGAGGCTACTTTACATAATTCTACCGACACCAACTTCCGTTCTTTATCACAACCGAACCGAGAAAGCAGCTGCGCACTGATTTTCCCTTGGGGAGAAATACATGGAAATTCAATTTCCACCTTGCACTCAATTCCTCAAACTCGAGTACGGACTGTGATTGGAACTTCTGCGACAAATTGGTGATCAACTTCGGCCTGTTTTTCACTGCTCCTTTTGCGGAGGAAAACTTTTTTATTAGGTCTTTGCCTGGGGCTGAAGAAGGAATCAACCAAACCCGAACCCAATCCATTTTGCAGACTGACCAGTTTGCGGTTGGCAGACTTTTCCATTTAGGACTGGCCATCTCTCGAGTCTTCGATGTTTGAGTTGGAAGTGCAAATATTAGTCAATTAAGTGCCGACCAACTTGAAATTAAATTTCCATGGCAACTCTGCCTTGCTCCGATCTGCTCGCTTCCGATCCCCCTGTATCTGGTATCTGGCGAGTTAATCCCCCGATTGGCGAGATTTATTAGCGCCTCATTTATCGCAGCTGTCAGGGGCATAGCCTACCTTTGGGCGCCCCATAAGTCTGTTTCGCCCACCTTCGGCCATCGGCTTTATCGATACTGACAAGTGCGCAGCCAGTCGGCGCATAAAATTACACCATTATTTTTAGCAAATGTCGTCATTTATAACCTGCCTGTATCTGAATCTGTATTTGTATCTGGGATTGACGGCTGTCCCTCGACACCGAGATATCTTGTTCTGGCAACAAATGCCAGGCTTCAAACGCACATTTCCCCGAGAACAGCACTTTTGACTTTTTCCAATTAAATGCATGTCTTTCTCTGATGTGCTGCATAAATTATGGCGACGGGTAATGCATGAATATTTACGAGGGAAAACAACCAACCAACTCGAGCCTGGCAGGGGGGCTTAAAATTGAGTTACTGCATAAATTGACACCAATGGTAAGAAATTTTGCAAAAATAAAACAACGGGCAAAACTTCAAAACCGAGCGAACGATTTTCCTTGTGAAAGTTATCCTGTGGCAGATAATTTGCGAGTCAAGTCCCATGAGCCAAGGCCATTGTCTGTGTTCAGAAAGGCATTAAAAGGCGGATAGCAAGGGCGTTTGAAGTTTTTTATCATGCCCTGAGATCTCAACTCAATTATTAAAATAGAGCACTGGAAAATGGATTTTCCATCAAGATACAAGTTGTAAAGTCTAAATGAACTTCTGTTTGGATGTCAGCAAAGCAGGAGAAATTTGTATAATCATTTTTTAGCAACATTTTTAGACAGTGTTTTAGATAATAATACAATCTATATTATTAAAGTGTTTAAAAAAGAATTATTAAAAATATAATTTTCGTAATTTTCTTTGAATAAAATTATCCATATATTATAATAATATAAAGCATTTTTGGTCGTACTGAATCTTGCCAAACCAAAAGTCAGTTTAAATATTTTATGACATATGTTTAATTCGAAAAGATTTTAAGTTTCATAATGATTTGGTAATATATAAAAGTTAATTGGGATTTTTAAACAGTCATGAAAAATAAATTGCAATATATTTTTTTTTAACAGAATATATCCATATTTCTTGGTTTTTATAGCCATACCTTAAATTTCTCAGAGTGCTTGCCTGCCACAGAGGCGTCAGAACTTTCATTCATGCCGAATGCTCATTGAATCCTTTGGTGCTGGGCACCCTACTGGCACCGAACAAACTTTTCATACGATTATTGCCCCGTATTTTACAAAGGCGGCCCCATAAACCAGCGGAATTTGCCTTTCGCAGCCAGCTGGAATGTGTGGCGTGTGCTGCAAGCCAATCTCATAAATCATACGTGATGTGGCACGCAAAGTTTGCCGACAGCCCCACCCCCATTCGCCCCCTGACAATTGAATATTTCCGCTGCGGATTTGGGGAATAATGAGAGCCTGTTTGCCTTCTCTGTTTGCCAGATAATCAGCATGAACCAGACGGAGCCCGGGCTACTGGCTACCGGAGAGCACCTGGGCGGCTATGCCAGCAGCAGCAACAGTGGCCGCTACCTCGACGACCGGCATCCGCTGGATTACCTCGACCTGGGCACCATCCACGCCCTCAACACCACGGCCATCAACACCTCGGATCTGAACGAGACTGCGAGCAGGCCGCTCGACCCTGTGCTCATCGACAGGTTCCTCAGCAACAGGGCGGTGGATAGCCCCTGGTACCACATGCTCATCAGCATGTACGGCGTATTGATTCTATTCGGGGCCCTGGGAAACACCCTGGTGGTCATCGCAGTGGTCCGGAAGCCCATCATGCGCACCGCCCGCAATCTCTTCATCCTGAACCTGGCCATATCGGGTGAGTTGAAACCCCAGGGCGGGAGGAATTCTGGTTCTCATCGATCGGACTTTCAGACTTGCTGCTTTGCCTGGTCACCATGCCGCTGACCTTGATGGAGATCCTGTCCAAGTACTGGCCCTACGGCTCCTGCTCCATCCTGTGCAAAACCATTGCCATGCTGCAGGCACTTTGCATTTTCGTGTCGACAATATCCATAACGGCCATCGCCTTCGACAGATACCAGGTTAGTCCTCGATCGAGCCTTTTTAATGCCCACATTAGTATGCAAATAGGGCTAATCGGATGGGGCAGGTCATGTCCCGATATTAATGAGGTGAATGGGTTCAATTTGTAACCATTAAATTTGACGTTGAGCGAAAATCGATGGGCTCTGGGTACATATTTGGCGATTTCACGAATGCTTAACCCACGATTAAAGTTATTATTATAAATGGGGGCTAGGCAAGAGCTATCAAAACGGGGTGATGTACGGATGTCAGAGGGTTTTATTTGCTGTTGATTAAAAGGGGTTAAGCTAATAAAAAATTCTTGTTATTGGATAAACATTGTTATAACAGAGTCGTTAACACATATTGTAGAGAAACAAAAATTAACAAAATACTAAGAAAAGTCTGTTAAAGGAAAATGAGTAAAAATTAAGGTTTGCACAGAACACAATCGCTATCATTAAAGACTTTATAAATGATGGCGAAAAGAGAGCTATTAAATCGTTGTGATGCTTAGAGGTCACAGTGATTAATATCTTTTGGTTAAAATGGCTTAAGCTAATAAATGAATCATCTTGTTTCGGGGACAAACTTCGCTATATGCAAAGTCGGAAACAAAATTTAATGAGAGCATTTTCAGAAACTAGGTCTCGTTTGGAAAGCAAGTAATAACAAGCAGGGGTAATTCAGTAAAAAGGAAAATAGAGAGAAGATTTAGCCGAACTCAGGGTCAAGTCAGCTTAGACTTCAAGAACATAAAGTCTCGATATTATGCTAACACACAAAAAGGAGCGAAAGGGCTTTACTGTACATTACATTTACATTAAGGCCACATTTGTATGGAAATTTTGAAGGTCCTACTCTCATTCGCCTATACGGTGCGCATCGAGGTACTTAAAGTATACCAAAAAACATTGTTTGACAACAGCGCCTTTTGGTGTTTCAAAGCTTGTAACTCATACGCACTGTTGCCTTTGATCAAATATATTTTTTTCATATAGGTGTCCCTAATTTGTTTTGGATTCATATTGACCGAAGCGGCGAGAAGATGATTTCATTTTTGGACCGCTATACTGTACAGGCGTGTATCATGTAGCCAAGTACAGTAAGCAGCAGTGAAATAAAATAATGTGCAAAGAATATAACTGATACTGTTACTGAACAGTAATGTAATGGGATATTTTTATGAGGGTTTTATGACGATTTTGCGTAGGAATCCTCTAATAAATATTTGATATCTTAACTTTTACATAAATGATTCCCCAGTAGGGTTAGGAAAGAAGGGTCTCCCAAAGTGTACAAAGCTTCATAGAAAGTGGGGCCCTGTGTTATCCCTGAATCACCCCCTGACTTTATTTCCAGGTTATAGTGTACCCCACTCGGGACAGCCTGCAGTTCGTGGGTGCGGTGATGATCCTTGCGGGGATTTGGGCCCTGTCCCTGCTGCTGGCTTCGCCGCTGTTCGTCTACAAGGAGCTGATCAACACGGACACGCCGGCACTGCTGCAACAGATCGGGCTGCAGGACACGATCCCGTACTGCATCGAGGACTGGCCGACCCGCAACGGGCGCTTCTACTACTCGATCTTCTCGCTGTGCGTCCAGTACCTGGTGCCCATCCTGATCGTCTCGGTGGCCTACTTCGGGATCTACAACAAGCTGAAGAGCCGCATCACCGTGGTGGCCGTGCAGGCGGCCTCCGCCCAGCGGAAGGTGGAGCGCGGCAGGCGGATGAAGCGGACCAACTGCCTGCTGATCAGCATCGCGATCATCTTCGGCGTCTCCTGGCTGCCGCTGAACTTCTTCAACCTGTACGCGGACATGGAGCGCTCGCCGGTCACCCAGAGCATGCTGGTGCGCTACGCCATCTGCCACATGATCGGCATGAGCTCCGCCTGCTCCAACCCGCTGCTCTACGGCTGGCTCAACGACAACTTCCGTAAAGAATTTCACGAACTGCTCTGCAGTTGCTCAGACACTAATGTTGCTCTTAACGGTCACACGACAGGCTGCAACGTCCAGGCGGCCCGCAGGCGTCGCAAGTTGGGCGGCGATGACTCCAAGGGCGAGCTGAAGCTGCTGGGGCCGGGTGGCGCCCAGAGCGGCACCGTCGGCGGCGGCGAGGGCGGTCTGGCGGCCACCGACTTCATGACCGGCCACCAGGAGGGCGGACTGCGGAGCGCCATCACCGAGTCGGTGGCCCTCACGGACCACAACCCCGTGCCCTCGGAGGTCACCAAGCTGATGCCGCGGTAAAGCACAGGGTAGCTCTTAAGGTCCTCGAGGTCCGGTCTGTATGTCCACGGCCGTGACCGCCCACCTCCGCAGGACACGCGTGCATGTCCTTTTGTGCGCCCTCGGGCTGATTGGATTTGCATGCTCCAAGCGCCGCTGCTGCTCCCTTCACGTTTCACTTGTTCCAACTGCAACTGCCATTTCCAGAGCACACTGAGCGAAAAGGCGTGCCCATAGGTCGGGAAAGTTGGTACACAGTTCCTTAAGACTTAATATTAGGTTTGATATTTGAGGGTCTGCCGCGAAAATGATAAATATGATTCAAATGTTCCTTTAAAAAGTTCGTTTCGCTCAGCTTCGTTAAGTTTTAAAATTAACAAATTATAAGTAAAATCAGTTTTATGAATGACTTTTGTTGCAATCTATTATTTTAGTTTCTTATAAAGGATTTACAATGCCTTTTTAGACATTTTTTTATGCCAATATTTAAAATATGAGGAAATATATTTTATTTCAAGTATCCTAACTAGTTTAATCATTATCATTTTTTAGCCTGTGCAGTTGGTATTAAAATCAGTATTATTTTTACTTTCAGTAATTTTGTACAAAAACGAATTACCAATTTATTTGCTTTAAAGACAGAATCATATTAAATGTAATTATAGACTACTTATGCCTTATGTATAAAATTCTTTTCTCTACCAACTTTAAGTTTCATATTGCATTTGTTTCTATCTTGTTACTACAAAAAAAATGTCCCACCCAAAAAAAAAGTGAGAATTTATATTTATTTATCGATTCCTGATTTAATGGATTTTCTCTATTGTGGCTCTAATATGACTGCTTTCCGGTCGTCTATGATTTCGTGACTCTTTTTCTCAGTGTTTGCATGCGCTTCACAATTCCCTTTATCGTTGCCTGGACGGGCTGTAACTCTTGTCGTTGCCATGTTGTGACATTATTTGCCTTGAGCAGCCATCGATTATGACCCAGCTTTTTGTGACACATTTTCAGTTTGGAACAGTACTAAATTGGCAATCAATCCTGGAGCAGCGGGCGGCTGGAGCGGCTTTTGAGTGACGCGACTTCCAATTCGCTCTTAGAATTTACAGAAAACACTTATTGTCCAGTGATCCAAAGCCAAGCTGAGTTACACCTAAGTTAAGACACAACGAGTATAAACCTCGAAGCCTGTAATCTATTCCTAAACGAGCATCTCATCGCATCCATCATCAAAGTCGGACTAAGTCTAAGGTTTGACCACTTTCAAATCGAATGCCGGAAAGTAATTGATTGAGCCCCCAATTGGATTTCGGGTATTTGATAAGTCGAATACGCCTAAGACCTCGAATAAGTTCCCTTCAAACAGTTCCTAGGAAATAATTTCGTTCTTCTCATAGCTACGTCTTTATATCATCTAAGCTTAGGATTATAAGTAGTTGATGTTCTGTTTGCCATTCTCTAATGATAGGTTAACTTAAAATTCGCATAAGTTTATCTATATTATAGTCCATAATTGTAAAAGATAACTTTAAAGTAAATGTCAGCAGCTCTAAAAACATCCTTTCAATGTCTGCTACACAAAAACTAAAAAATATTTTAATAAATGTTGTTTACAAGTCCTGCATAATAGAGCTGTTTCACTGGAAAAATGCAGAAATCTCTCTAAATGAGAGCTTCGGGGCAGTGCCAATTAGAGATGCCAGTTAAATTGCACAAAGTGTGCTTTCATTTACCAGGAATTTCTGCTTGTTTTTCCACAAATCAATTATTTGCAGCTTAGGGCTTTTACGCAAATGAAGTGGGATGATACGATTTTGTGCAGAAAAGTAAGTAAGTTGCAGCTGGGCAAGTCCTCTTTAAAGATTTTTAAGCAAAACGGGACACCGTGTTAACCAGTTTAACAACCACAGCCATAAACAGCAGCTGAACCGCTCAACACTTAACCCTTGACACTTTTGTGGGTTCGAGACCCTCAAGCAGCTGCAGCATAAAAACCTACGACCCATAAAAATAGCACATAAGCATGCAAACTGTGAGACACCGCCATAAGGAAGTTGGAGAGCCAGAATGTCTACAGATGTAGTATATTTAGGTAATCAAAATAGATTGTCTTAAAAAATATGTGCTAGTATGATAAAAAACACATCCATTGGAACTTGAATAAGTGCCCAAATGTGGCAGTCTCGGGTTTGGTAATAATAAACTCATTAGACCGCATGTTTGGTGAGGTTCTCTTGATGGGCGACAGGTGAGCTAAATTAGTGTGTGATTTCATTTCAATTAAGGTATACGCACCGCCGTGGGCGAAAGGCCGGTCACCAATCCCCCAAATTCGCAGCTCGGTTCACAGTTCGCCGACGTGTGACACAAACGTGACCGGTGGCGAGTGATATATGGATCGCACGGAAAAGTGAAATGTTCCCACCAGGCAGCGTGAAAAATGAAAGACAAATAAAGTAAACTAATTAAAAATTTCTTTGGGAATGCGTGATACGAGAGGTGAGGCGGCTCACCTGCTTCTGGCTGCTGTAAAACTGTCAACGGTCAGTTGGCCTGCCGTTTGTTTTGACGGCTGGTAACGGCCCTATGCACTTGCGGCTTGTGAAAGTGTTTACCTTACTTTTTGTCACAATCAGCGGGCTCCGCACCTTCCGCTTCCATTTCAATTTCCATTTCATCTGATGATTACGAATACCCATCTCACTTTCTTCTCATGCGGATTGCGCAATGGTGACAAAAGCATTCTGGGTGCGAGTGTACCTCCATCAGCCCAAATCAACAGACTCGCCGGCAACGAATTTTACGGAACCGGCGTGAGCTGGCAATTAGCATATTTATGAGTAAAAGTGAAATTAATGATTGGAATAAAATTCAAAGCGAGGGTTCGCAAATATTTGCGGGCAGCCAAAGACCCTCTCTGCATACCAATTGATGGAACTCAGATTCGGATTCGGATTGAGACTGAGATGTAGCGTAATATGTGTTCATGGGTTCAAGGCACTTAAATCTTGCATCCCGCTGCCGTTGGACACATGTCGATGGCGAGTGATGGAGGATGGCATTTCTTTGACATCTTTGGCGGCTCTTTAATAGGTGCTAAATGAATCCGCTGCGAGCACTTTCACATACAGACGGATGGTTGGCTGGATGGATGGCCAAAATGGGAGTTCGCCAATTGAACAGCCTTTGTCTGGGCAAAGAAGTTGGCCCCGATTTGCGCTGGGCTTTTAGAAAACATTGCTCGGACCATTGTTACATTGAGAGTGGTTATTGATTTTGCGGTCTCATAAACTGGCTTTCATTTCGTTTTGGCTTTTGAGCTTCTCAGTGGTTCAGTGGCTCGGCGGTTTGGCGGTTTAATGGTCGGGGGTGGGGCCTTTCCGCTTGTTAGCCACAAGTCAATGGCAAAGTTTGTCACCAGAAATTAATAACAATGTGACGCTCAGTTGGCCAATTCTAAACGACGACTTTCTCATGCGTAAACCGGCCGACGGAACCCGTTCACAGATCAAACGCTGCACACTTATAAATAAGTGAAAATCTGCTTACACTTTGCGCTGCTAAACTAGTCCATCTTAAATATTTATAGAAATCGAAAATGCTCGGCAGATGTGCACGATTATATGTATGTTGCATTTTATTGTTGTGCTCGGAATCCCTAATCCTGTAATCCCCTCGACGATGACATGTGCATTGCATACAGAGGAATCCCATTGGGTTTACAAACAGACTATATTATATCGAAACCCAAAATGAAGGGATTTTCCTGGGGGCTTACTGAGTTTTAAAATCAGTTAACCATGCTGGGTTTATGCCATGAAACCCACAAATCCATCACAGTGTGGCTCCAATAAAGGAAACTTAGAAATTTGCAGAACTCTTGCCAAGAACTCAAAATTTCGTTTAAAGTTCAAATATTTTAATATTAAATTCGTTTAGTTAATAGCAGCCGCTAATTGAAATTGAAGAAACATTAAAATATGTTTTAATTCTTTGATGATAATATAATTTCCTAAAATTAAAGGTTAGTATTTATATTTTTAAGTTTAAATAACAGTAGCAAAAAAAACATGCATAATATGTGCTAGAAAAATATAAAATTTTGGCATATTTAATTCCTGGTTGCTTTTCATAATCACCCTTGAAATAACAACATTAATATACAACACCATCAGTAATTTAATTCTCTCTACCGCGCTGTTTATTTTCAGTTTACTAATTTTTGAAATACATACTTGTTTAGCCATTTGCAATATTAATTATTTTTAATCGAGTGTAAATTGCGTGGGGCACCACAATACTGCAAAAGTTCAACCGCTTCTGGCGGGGAAAAACACAAAGAAACAAATTGTAACAAATTAAATAAAGTTTGCGGCAACTCTTGGCCAAGTTTTTAAGCAGAGGTCCCCACAGCTTCCCTCGTGGGGCAAACAAAATCGAAAGTTCGACTAAATTGACTGACTAAGTGACCGCTTTCCGTTAGCATATGGTGACGCTTGTTTTGCGCCCTGACTCGACTGTTTTCCAGCGATTCACATTGTTTATATATGTATATCCACATGCAAAATTGACATGCAATTTCACGGCGTCAGGGTTCGTATTTTTTGATATTTTGCTAGCTGTCCAGAGAGTGGCCGTTTTCATTAGCGACTAATTTTCCGTGTGCAAGAGAAAATGGGTGGCCCACTGATGAGGTTGTACACTGGGAAAATATTTTATGCATAGATATTTATATACTGTTGTTGAAGGGACGGAAATTTATATACATATATGTATGTGTATTTGACACTTACTATTTAGATAAATATGTCATACAAATATGTGATCTCTCTGTGATCTGCTTAACTTCCCTAGGGGCTAATATCCACTGAGTCTATACAGATAATTTAAAAAGTAATGTTAAATTATAATTAAAATACAATTAATTAAATTACATATATATATAACGTAAGGAAGAATATAAAAACCTTTACCTAAATTAAGTAACAGACCATAATAGGTGGGCAATGCATATTTCCTTGGTATATCATTATAATCGAAAACTCCCAGTTTCTGCCAGTGTAGTTGACGGCTTGTCACTTGGCTTCGCGGCTAGCTGATGTCTTCAGCTTTTGGCCCGGCTCGAAGACTCGCCGAGAGCCGCTCTTAAGCCGCTCTTCGCAACGTAAGCAGTCTGCCCGCTCACGTAGCGCCACGTAAGGCCCAAACTGGTTGATCGCACCCGCCGTGTGGCTTTCGCCCGGCAGTCCAAATCTTCGCGAGCTGAGCACCAGACGCAGACGCGCGAGTAACCCGAGAAAAGCTAGTTTGTGATCCCAGAAACCAATCTATTATAATAACTGCCAAAACACAGGCTATCAGTGGCGTGTGCTGCACTGGATAAAAGCGGGGCCATTGTTTGGCTGGCAAATACTGGCGTTCAGTGGATCAAAGTGCTGTTAAAGTGAAACGAGCTGTGGCAATTGCATTGACAAAGGAAGTGAGTGAACGGGTTTCGGCCAGTATTTTCACCAGGCCAAATCTGAGAGCCGACGCAGAGCGGCAGTGAATGCAATTCCGTTTTCGAAACACACAGAAACGAAAGTCTGGCGAAGAAAGTTCTCCTCCGACGAATGCAAAAATCGAATTAGCAGCGAGTTGAGTGAACCAGAAACTCCTGGAGGAATTACACGGCCAGAGTGAAGAAGGTAAATTGAGTTGTAATTGATGGCTGCCAGTGAGTGGCCTCATTAATCACCAGCGAGATCCTCCGTTCAGTTTTTATACCCGGGTCTCGATTCGGTCAACTAATGAACTATCGCTTGTGCTTGAGAAAAGGTTGTTATTGTTACCACCGACAAGACAGCTAAGAAACCGATTGTTAACATTTCCCTGTCGACACTGTTGTCGCTACTTAAAGCCATTCATTGCGCTGTCCCTCCGCATTTGTATCTCCGAATCTCAGAGTCTCACACTGTGTGGGCCAAATACTGGCCGCTAACTTAATAGAAAAGCCCCGCAATCTCCGTAATTAATTGTCGAGAGGCGTTACGTAAGCCGGCCTACCCCAACTGGCCAAAAAGGGAATCATCTGCTCAGCTCGGCCGGCAATCGAAGCGTCGCCAAATGTTTAACGATACTTTCTTTTTTCGGCTCACAGCGCGTAAAATGCGTTGAAGAAAGCCCTCGTCTCAGTCGATCAACTGCAAAATTATGAAAATGATACAAGCGGAGGAGTGAGCCACACAGAGACAAATTATGGCCCTCAGCTTGGTTTTTGCCGATCAAGATGCTGTTGTTGTTTAGTATTTCAAAAATTCCAATGATGTACAAATAGGGCAGATGACTTTATGGCACGACTTTAAGCAAACCCAAACCATTCATTTTGTAGTTATAAGATGATGCTATCCCTATGGAAAAAACCCTTTAAATATAACTTTCGTATACACAGAGAAAAATAACTGGTAGACCGTTACAAAACATTTATTATTTGATGGGTTTTTCATTCACTTTTTGATTGAAAATATTGTTTTCAAATTAAACCATTACGCTAATAGCTTATTTCCATTAAACTTCATTATTTGTAATAGCTAGGTGCATACCACATTGATAAACAATTTTGTTAAGGGGAAATAACC